TATTGGTAAGAACAATCAAAATAATCCTGTTTGAACAACGTGATGTATTAATTCAGGGAATGCACATGAAAATTCAATGGTTTAACCAAGTTAGCTAAAATGAGAAAGTTAAGTGTAGTTTCCTGGTAACAAAGCTTAATCTTCCAGCCATGATTCAGTAATGATATTCTTCTTTTTGAAAAGGTATTTGTTTTCAGGGTGTAGAATTCTGTATTTTTGTTTTCACTGTTAGATAAAGAGAAGAACCAGTTTTATATCACTGTGCAAGCAATTTAGGTTAATTGTTGGGAAATTCAAAACTGTGTGGAAATAAAAACAGACCAGCTAGGATAGTATAAATGCATTCATATCAATCATAATAAAACGGACCAGAACCAAGCCAAAACAAAACTATGATTGATAAAATTTAAACTGTTGAAAATTAATCATTGAATATTCAACACTGGAATTTAGAGTGTTTAGAACATGAATGTGGAAGTGTTTCAAGAAACTAGTAAAAAAAATTCTACTTTTTCATTTCCTTAAATGGGCAAGACAGAAGAAACAGAACCTTTTGCTCAATAAATTTAAGACAGAGCAATATTTACTAGAGAATTCAAACTCAAGATGTATAACTGAGACCTCCCAGTAAATCAAGAGAATCCTTGGTAAGGCATTCCCAAAGCAATGCCATTTGCAAGTTCACAAAAGGATGGGCTAAACACAGCAAGAGGCCATTTTTATTCTTAAAACATGCTGCTAAAGTGCTCAATAAAGTACAGTAATTTTATCAGGTACATTAATGTACAGAAATCATCAGGGTGTTGTTACGTGGATTGAAAGCCCTTGCAAGCCTTCCTGGCAAATGTAAAATCTAGCCAGTTCACAGTTTGTCATTCATCCAGCAGCACGGAGTAGGTGGTAGATAGTTGAGTCAGTCAAGTGCCTTCAGCAGATTCCTGCTTACTCACTCAGTAATAATTAGTATTTGGGAACTGCTGCCTGTGTTTGACTATGACATGACAAAGAGACACTGAATTTTTAAAAATAATATTATTTCTTTAAAAATTGCTTTTGTCATAGTAGTAACTTATGTGTGCAAAATCCTGTCACTAGATGTCTGGGTATGTCAGAGAAACTTCAAGTATTTTCAGGATGCTGAGGAACAGATACCCACATCTCTGCCTTGCTCCTAAAGTTAGATGTCACTGCTAATGTACATTGAGTATCATGGTGTGCTCCCACAGACTGTACAAGACACTCCAATACTGACACCCCTGGCCCCTTCAGAAACAATGAATATCAAGAACTTTTGTGTACCTAGGTGATTTCAAGCCAACTGACTAAGAAGGAAATAATCAGTCAACTCAGTTTTACATGACATTTGTGCTAGTGTTCTACAGAGCCTGTCTTCAGATAAAACTTGGCTTCTATTGCTAGGCAATACAGCTCATTTAAATTTCTGAGTTTTCTGTTATTCCAGAATCTGGGAACTCATGTACGTACATGTACACATACACTCTATGTATAATGCATATATTTTAATTTTTTTACTCCCTTGTTCAAATATTTTTAACAAATCATATATTCTATCACAATTTCCCTGCCTTCTATTTCTTCCAGATTTTCTATATTTCCCTTCTCATCTGGATCCACTAAACTGGAAACCATTATATGATGTGTATGTATACGTATACGTATATGTATATTCAAAGGATCATATTTACCTTTTCTGGGTCTGGGTTACCTCACTAGGATAATGTTTTCAAGTTCCATCCATTTACCTGTGAATTTCAAGATTTCATCTTTATTAATGGCTGAGCAATACTCTATGCTGTAAACGTGCCACTAGTTTTTAATCTGTTCTTACTGAGGTACAACTATGCTGTTTCCATCTTCTAACTGTTATACATAGAACAGTAATAGACATTTTTTCAAAAAATATCTTTACAATAGGATGAAGCATCCTTTTGGTATGTGCCTGTGAGTAGTATAGCTAGATCTTCGGGTAACTTGGTTGCCATATTCCAGAGAAACCATCACCCTGATTTCCAGAGTGGCTGTAGAAGTTTGTACTCCCTCCAGTCTTGGCTTCCTTTACTCTATATCCTCAACAGAACAAATCACCATTTATTTTATTAATCATGGCCAATCTGACATGTGTAAGATGAAATCTCAAAGTATCATGAATTTACATTTCCATGATGAGTAAGGATATGGAATATTTCTTTAATGTTTCTCAGTCATTTGAATTTTCTCTTTGGAAAACTTTGTTTAGATATGTACTCTATTTTTTAATTGAGTTATTTGTTTTCTTGATGTCTTGTTTGAGTTATTTATATAATTTGAGCCTTAGCCTTTTATCAGATGTGTAGGTGGTGAACATCTATTTTTATTCTGTATGCTATGTCTTTTTCCAAATGATTGTGTTCTTTACTATGCAGAAGCTTTCCAACTTAATGAAGTCTCATTATTAATTGTTGATCCTAATGTCAAGGCTATGCTTTGTTTAGAAAGTCTCTGTGCTAATGAGTTTAAGTCTATTTCTCACCTTCTCTTCTATCAGCTTCAGTGTGTCTGCCTCAATATTCAGATCGTTTGTCCATTTATAGTTGAGTTTTGTGCAGGGTGATAAGAACGGACCAGTTTGGATTCTTTTTCCTGTAGCTTTCCAGTTTAACCAGAAACATTAGTTGAAGATGGATGCTGTCATTGGTTTTCAGTTTGTTTCTGATCTCTTTATAAAGAATCAGGTGACCAAAGTTGTGTGTATTTATATATGGGTCTTTATTTTGATTCCACTGATAACATACCTATTTTTGTGCCAGTGCCTTGCTTATTTTAGTACTACAACTCTTTCGTAGAACTTTAAATAGTTCTGCCAGTAGTTCTTTTATTATTCTGGACTATTCTAGCTGTCTTTGGATTTTGTCTTTCCAAATGAAGTTTAAGATCATCCTTTCAAGACCTATGAAAAATTGTGATGGAATTTTGTTGGGAATTGCATTGGAGCTTTGGGCTGTTTTTTTGTAGGTTAGCCATTTTTCATTTTTTAAACTACATTAGTCTTAAAGCTTCATGAGTTTAAGAAACCACTCTATCTTCTGATATTTTCTTCAAATTTTTTATTCAATGTCTTAAAGGTTTTTTATCATTTAGTCTTTCATTTGCATGATTAGATTTACACCAAGGTTTCTGTGGGTTAAAGTTCTAAAGCATTTTATTGATTCTTCATGAATTTCACATCATGCACCAAGTGTCCCTCATCTTCCTCTCCTCTCATACCCACCTTTACAACCTCTCACCAACTAAAGATTTAAAAAAAAATCTTATTGTGGAAGTAGTATTGTGTTACAGTGTGTCACACAGTATTCCCTTTCATTCACTCTTTTTTGCTTACAAATGTTCATTGCAATGACTTATTTTTCTAGTATGAGTCCTTTGGCTTCTGCTACTCTGTCAGTACTGTATTCTCACTGGGACTTCTCTCCACTATATTGTTGCTCCCATGTGGCATGACAATCGTATAGATTTGAATCTGTTGGGCCAGTCCCTTCATACACACCAGCAGTTTATGGATGGGGTAGATGTCAGGGCGAGCCAATTCAAAGCTATGTATCTAGATCTGAGAGTTATTAGAGATGCTCAGTCTGCTCACTCTCACAATATCAAACCCTTGGGGCTGGCTCACTTGGAATCCCTTCACCCAGAGCCTGCTCTAATCTGGAGGTACAAAGCCTGCTCTGCTAAGTTTTCCAGCTGGTGAAAGGCATGGCCAGTTCTATCACTCTCATAACATCGATCCCAGCTCTCCCACCTGCCAAGGATTATGAGGGAAGAGAAAGGAGGAGGGTGTCTCTCCTCATCCTCATTCCAGCCCAGGAGACAAGAGTCAGGGTCAGTTTTTCTGTGCTCCTACCCTCAAGGCTGACTCATCTGCAACCACCACATCAAGGGCCAGTTCTACTGTGCTACCCAAGCAAGGTCCAGAGTACTGTACCAGGTGGTGGGCAGAGCTAACTTTCCTGAGATCCCATGACCCCAGGGCAAGATCTTCACCCTGCTGTAGGTGTCAAGGAGTGTGAGAAGGGGAAAGCATTTCTCCCTTGACCACGCTGTTGCACCACAGACAAGAGTCAGAGACAGCTGTCCCATGCTCACACCCTCTTGGCAGTCTCACCTGCATGTCTGTCTTTAGGGTCAGCTTTACTCTGCTACCCAGGTGAGGTGCAAGGCCTCCTGTTCTCATTGCTGCAGCAAGTGAAGTATAAGTACAGCTCTTCCACTGTTATGATCCCAGGGCCAGCTCTACTGCCGGCCTTTGGTGTCAAGGGGTGAGAAGTCAGAGGGGGATTGGGGGGAGGCATCTCTCCTTTGTTCATAGCACCATAGGGCATTCAAGTGGTAGGTCATCTCTACAACACTTTGTCCATAAGGTAGGCTCACCTGCACTCTGCCACCAGGGTCCTTTCTGCTGTGCTGCCTTGGTCAGGTTTAGAGTCTGCCCCCCAAGTGCTGCAGCTGGTGAAGGACAGAGACAGCTCTCCTGCTCTTGTGATCACAAGTTCACTTCTCCTCCCCATCACATGTGGTCAGGGATGAGAGGAAAGGAGAACAGCTCTTCCTTGCTCACACCACTGTAGGGAGACATAGGGCCAGGTCTTCTATACTTACATCCTCAGGACTTTCCTGAGTATTGCAATTGGCTAGAGACAGGGTAAGCTCTTCTTCTCTTATGCCTCGGGGACCTGGTTTCCCACATTGCTCAGGTAAGGGGTGGATGGAATATTCATCTCAGGCCAGCTCCCTGTCTGGGCCCCATGACACCAATCAAGTGGTCATCGTGTGCTTTCTCCTAGCACAGCTATCCCAAGTGGCCATCTGTCTCAGATTCACTCCTGCTTGGGGCTGTGATCTCAGGTGGGGTTTTTCTAGTCTCTGGCTTACCAGCTTAGGAGCCAGTTGCGACCTCCCTGACCCTCAACTCGTGGTCATCTCAGGCTAGCTCATTGACCTGGTGCACTGATGCCAGAGTAGATGTGGCTGCTGAGTCACATGTGTGTTAATAGCTGGCAGAGAGGAGAGAGGCTATATCTACACTCAGTATTCTGACGTCTGAACATGTGAATGATTAGTAGACTAACAGTCCATAAAAAAAAGGTGAGCTCATTTTTTATTCAGCAACTTTGTTAAAACTTATTAACAATAAATTAAACATTTCCAGGTTTAACGTTTAGTGTCACTTGTCACTTGTATATACTCTCATATAATCTGCAAATAAAGAAGATACTGTTACTTCTTCATTTCTGATTTTTGACCCTTTCTACTCCTTTAATTGTCCTATTATTACAGTTAAGATGTCAAAGTACTATGTTGAATAGCTATGGAGAGAGTGCACAACATTGACTTATCCTCAATTTTATCAGAATTACTTTGACTTTCTCTCTATTTAAGCTGATGTTAGCTATGGGCTTGCTGTAAAATGCATTTATTGTATTGAGATATGCTCCTTGTATCTCTAATCTCCCCATGACTTTCATTATGAAGAGAATTTTATTAAAGGTATTCCAGTTTGTTTTTTTGGTCTTTGTGTTTTGGATATCATGGTAAGTGTGGACTCATAAAATGAATTGGTCAAGCTGGACATGATGACAAATACTTTTAATCCCAGCATTTGGGAACTAGCAGAAGGGCATTTCAGAATTCAAGACTACCCTGTCCTACAGAGTGAGTGGCTACATAGCCACAACTATACAGAGAAGTGCTAAATCAATTTTGTTTTTGTGGCAGTAATGGAGTGTGTGTGCGTGTGTGTGTGTGTGTGTGTGTGTACCAATTATTGATTTGCTAGTCTGGGATTATTTATTCTTGCCCTCCCTCCTTTTATCAGTTAATAAATAACTTTATTAGATTGAAGTAGTTCTAGTGTCTTCTATCTGCCTGGACTATAAATAGATAAATATCATCTTATCATGGAATGTTTTATTTTCTCCATACATTGTGAGAATTGCAGAATATAGCATTCTGTACTGGTATTCTGTACTGGTATCTGTGATCACTTAAAGTCTGTAGAACAACTGTCCAGTCCCTTCTGGTTTTAGAGTTTCCATTGAGAAGTCAGGTGTTATTTTAATGAGTCTTTCCTTTCAAGTTACTTGGTCTTTCTTTCCTTCCAGCTTTAAATATTATTTTTTATTCTTTACATTTAATGTTTTATCATTATGTGCTATGGTGCCATTCATTTCTCATCCAGTCTATTTGGTGTTCTGTATGTTTTCTTTTACCTTGATTGAAATCTCCTTCTTCAGTTTAGGAAATTTTCTTCTATGATTTTGTTGAAAATATTTTATGTGACTTTGATTTTGGTTTCTTCCTCTATTCCTTTTATTCTTAGATTTATTCATTTAATAGGACCCCAGATTTCCTGGATGTTTTGGTGCCAAGACATTTTAGAGTTAACATTTACTTTGATTAGTGTATCCATTTCTTCTATAGGTGTGGCCAATCAAGTTCCTGGTAAATGTGTTTCTTATTTGGCAGGCCAACTTTCTTCTCTGGCAGGTTTGCCTTTTTTAGTATCTCAAGGAATGTCTGGTGGAGTTGGTGGCTGGCATAATGCAACGAAAGTTTGGAAGAGTGCTTTTATGTGATCTAACTGAAGATCGAGGAGGAAATGAGGTGATCTGCTAAAGAGCTCAGGATAAGACGAAGGCTTTGTATTTGGAGGAAAAGATGGACAGGTGAAGATCTGCAATTAGCCCACCTGCTTCTTTCTATAGAGTGATCTTCAGGTTCCCAAGGAATTACATATATGTTTTTCTAATGCCAGTATATAGGATTTAAAAATGCTGCACTTTTGTTTCTTTTATTAAGCTGAAAATCTCTTAAGTGTAAATTAATTTTAGAGAGTATTCTGAAAAAATGGTGCAATACTGTTTGTCAGAAGTCGATCTTCCCACTGAAAATGTGACATGTCATTCTTATGAACATCTGTGGAATAGTTACGAGTTTCAATTTTTTATTTAATATACTTTATTGTAAAAAAAATCTTGCAAATAAATAGAACTATCGCACCTACTCCTTAACAAGACCCAAAATCAATTCATCTCATTGAACTTCTGTTTGGTTAGAATTGGAAGTCAGAATGAATGCATGAAGAGTCACAATTTAATTGTGATCAGCTTCAGCTCTAGGCACAACAGGAGCCATCCATACCCAAACTGAGTCATGTAGAAATGCAAGTATTGAATGCAGAAGAGAAGAAAAGTTGTGAAGTCAATGGCCGTTACATTTTCGCCACTGTTGCATTACTCTTTCTGGGATAATACATCCTTTAGTGGATAAACAGATAGGCAAATGTGATTTACACATGAATTATAAATTATTATTTAGCCTAATGTAGATGGAAGACTCTATTTTACAATACAAAAGGGATGGGCCTCCCCTCCCATTGATACCAGATAAGGACATCTTAAATGCATTGATTTATAGCTTGTCAATGTGCTAAGTATGAGGGACTGTGATTGCTTAGTCACAGATAGGTTTTCTGTATCAACAGAGGCCCAGAAATATCACAAAAGAGGAAGCAGACAAAACATAAGATCTGGAGGATGGGAAGAAGGCCAGCGTGGAGCTGTCTTCTGAGTGTTGCATGGCTGCTGTGTTATCTATAAATGATCTGCTCCAGAATGAGCATAGAGGTCTCAGGATGGAAAGGTAAATCCTAAAACAAGGAAGCTGCTACCTCATACTTTCTAGTGCTACAATCAGCCTAAGCCACTCTTACATAATGTATTTTAAAACTGACAAGATCCTATATAGATAAAAGGATATTTATAGTTATAAATGAATCTTACTCTGATTTTTAATTTATAATTTTAATAGTCTAAAATGACAAATGCGCACACACACACACACACACACACACACACACACAGCAAAACCGAAAGCAAGCAAACAAAATCATACTTCTTTAAATCTTCTTTAGCATCAGCAAATAAATAGTTCAAGATAAACAGAAAGAGAAGGAAAAAATACATGTGTAAATGGGTTTGACAAACCGCGAAGGTTACAACATGCACTGACTGTGTTTTTTTCAGTAACAATGCCAGGTGAAAGTATTGAAAATGAGCCTAGGGCTTTTAAGTTTTGTTCATTACAAGAAAATAAATAAATTAAATACAACCAAGTAATTTTCCATGGTGGTGTAAGCTTTTTCTTTGTGTGCTTTTCTGAAGATATACCATATGAAACTTTAAGTAAAAACAATTGTTTTGAAACAGTGCTTATAAGTCATTAGAGGCACCAGTACTATACTAGAAAATGATGCTTTTAAGCCTAAGTATTCTCCTCAGCCTCAGCCGTGAATTTCACAATATGTACAGCTATGATGCAGACATAACAAAAGAATGTTAACAGAAAGCCAATAATGCGTGACATTAACATGTGAAAGTGTAAAGAGCCAAAGTTCTTTGGGAGGCCATTGAGTTTTATTGAAAATATAATGATAAAAGAAAGAATGAAGGAATAGAAGTCTAACTACTGATCTGACTTCTTCACATCTTTAATGTTAAAACATAAGGAAAGGAAAAAGGCTAGTAAATGGTAAATACTTAGAAAGAAGGCCTATTAACCCAGCAGGAATTCTTTCAATAGAACTCAACAAAAAGTATTAAGAGGTGGTTTTCCTCAATACAGTCCAATTTAATTCCGTTGAGCAGACATTTCTTGAGTGAGTTTATGTATAACACCTTGTCCAAGGTGTTTTTTTTTTCTAAAGAAAATTAATGGAGAAAAATAATGGAAAAAAATAACATTGAAGAGCCAAAGATTTACGACAATTTTATTTTAAATTTCTTACCCAATTTTTCTTTGGAATGGTGTTCTAAATTTTTACAACTATATGCAAATTCTTCTTCTTTTAAAAATGTTTATACTAAGTGGTTACAAAACTTGAGAGAACACCACTGGCAATGGCACAAAGCAATCTGAAATTATGAATGGACTGTATTTTGGAACAACACAAATACTCCTATAGTATTCTTATTTCTTAAAAGACTTGGAGCAGGGCACTGTGTTCTCTTTTGATCTCTATATGGATTGAATATTAGGGAAACCTCAGTCAATACAAAAATCTCCCATTAGTCTCATTTTGCTCTGTGATCATTTCCTCTCACTCCTCCTTGGCTTGGATTTTTTGTTTTATTTAGTTTGAAAATATCAGGCAAAAATTAACATTTCGGTTTACTTTTTAAGAAAATTAATAGGTATATGTAAGGAATATGGTTTAAAAACCAAATTGTGTAACTCAAAATCCATGTTGTGTGACTTAAAATAATAGGACCATGCCTGCCACAAGTCAGCTCTGGTAATAGCTAGAACTCAGAAGCAAAACCCTGCCAGGCCACTTCACAGCTTAGATCTGTGTCTAGCCCAGGACATTCCTTTATATGCTAATGAACCAACACCAAGATGGTATTGAGGTGCTGGTGAACCAGGCCCAAGCAGTTTGCCCCCATAATGCAAAGCTATTGCCAAAAGAAATGATACAAAACTTGGAACATAGAGAATGGTTACTAGGATAACATTGCTTTTTTCTCCAGCCAGGCTTCTCTATCATCTGTGTTGACATCCACCTGGAAGACTGGAAACACTGTACTGGGCCCTGATCTCCATGACTGTTGGACTTCCAGACTCGCAGACTCACCTGTCAGTGCTAGCCACTGGATCTTTTATGCTTTCAAAGACCTCCTGGACATCCACCAATACCATCCTCTCCACCGACCACAGCTAAAGGACTTCTGGAGTGACATGTGTGCCTGGACGTTTCATTAGTGTCCTCACCCAAAACAATCCCTTAGTAGACCCCGCAGAAGCCATTTCTGCCTAAACAACTGTTTCTGTCTTTTGTGAGATGCCTGGTTAACACTTATATTAGTATATCATAAGTAATGGTTGTATAAATAAACTGACCTGATTTGAAAGACACATCTTGCATGGAGACTGTAATCTGAATGACTTACAGCCTTTGGCCAAGCTTCCAGCAGTATACATTATCAAACATTGTCTATATTTCTGACACTATGAATAGCACTTTCTAACAAAACTAAAGTTATGATGAGCTATGTAGAACTATGGTGAATACCTG